GGGTACAAGGCTGCTTGTCACAAGTTGAATAGCTCCTCCAGCTCCTCAGATGGCACGGATGCAGTGAGAATCCATGGCATGAACCGTGGATGCAGACAGCATTTCCTCTCTGGTTTGCCACACTAAAGCGCTGAAAAAGAAAACTGGCAGCTGTAGGGTCTCTAGTTGTTTTGATTAGCTTAGACCCCAACTCCTTCAAAAAACTAGCAGCACTTTTACCCCAGGCACCAAGTGTCTCTGAGGCAATGGGGACAAAATTGTAGTGGTGCTCAAGGTCTCTGTATTTACGTGACTTGGCCGCTTCCCGGTGATTGGCAGCTCCTCCTGCTTGTGTAGCACTGAAGTCAACATTGGTATTGGTTAAAGTTGAAACGCACGTGAAGTCCCACACCAACTGTCTACCATTCTTCCAGGGGTTCATCGTGATTCCGTCTGGGCGACTGACAGGCTCATCAGAGTTGCGGGACATTAGGTAACGGGGCTCTCTCTCTGTTGGACAACCGGCTGTGGTAAGGCTTCTCTTAATAATGTCATTGACCTCGCCGTGTCTTGCATGCCATCCTCCTGTCCTTCTCAGGTTCCTCTTGCATATGTCTGTACCGTAGTTGGGGTTTGCCTGTTAGACGCTTTCCCTGCATCAATTCTCTATACAGGAGATCCTTGGGATCCTGCCATCGCCCGTTTGCACCACGTGCCCGAGCCCGCTGTTGTTTGTCACCTTCTCTTGCCAGGTGATGTCCAAGATGTGTCAGAGGCAGCGCATGTCGTAAGCGTTCAGCTGTCTCTCCTGACGTGTTCAGAGTGTCCAAGACTCACTGCCATATAGGAAAGTGCTCAAGACACAGGCTCTGTAAACCTGCATCTTTGTACAATCGCTCAGCGTATTGTTGGCCCACACTCTCTTTGTCAGTCTGGATATGGTAGTACATGCCTAACCGATGCGTTTGTTTAGCTCTGTACCAAGAGAGGGGGAGTCAGAGATTGTGTGGATTTGTGGAGTACACGAAGTCGTGAACGACTTCCAGTTTGGAATTGAATACCGATGTCAGGTGGGGAGTCTACTCTTTGTCCCATGACCTATTTTTTCTTCAGGCTGATTGTGAGGCCGAAAGCCTGACAGGCCTCGCTGAAGTGGGTCATGAGCCGTTGGAGGTCTTCGGCTGAGTGGGCAGTGACTGATGCGTCATCAGCAAAAAGGAAGTTGCACAGATACCTCAGCCGAACCTTAGTCTTGGCTCTCAGCCTGACGAGGTTAAAGAGCTTTCCATCCGACCTGATCCGGAGGTAGATGCCTTCTGTGGCAGATCTGAAGGCGTGCTGCAGCATAACTGCAAAGAAAATCACGAATAGGGTTGGAGCCAGGACACAGCCCTGCTTTACTCCACTTCGGATGTCGAAGGCGTCTGATGTTAGGCCATCAAAGACCACGTTGCCTTTATGTTCTCGTGGAAAGATCTGATGATGCTGAGGAGCCTGGGTGGGCATCCGAACTTGGAGAGGATCTTGAACAGGCCATCCCTGCTGACGAGGTCGAAGGTCTTCGTCAGATCTATGAAGGCTACGAAAAGTAACTGCTTCTGTTACCTGCATTTCTCCTGCAGTTGTCTGAGGGAAAGGACCATGTCGATGGTGGAACTGTTAGCTCGGAAAACTTATTCTGATTCTGGATAGACTCTCTGCAAGTACTTGGAGCCTCTTCAATGTGACTCGAGCAAACAGCTTTCTGACAATACTGAGGAGGAAATGCCACGGTAATTGTTGGAGACGCCTCTGTCACCTTTATTCTTATACAGCGTGACGATGTTGGCGTCCCACATGTCCTGTGGCACCTCTCCTTCTTCCCAGCAGAGGCAGAGAATTTCATGCAGCTCCATGAGCAGGTTTCCTCTGCAGCACTTCAAGGTCTCAGAATACCATCTTTTCCAGGAGCTTTGCTAGAAGCAAGGGAGTCTAGGGCCTCGCTGAGTTCTTCGTCGGTTCGCTGTCGAGCTCCATTAACACAGGCAGGCACTCAATGGCGCTCAGGGCGTCTTCGGTGACCATATTCTCCCTGGCGTACAGTTCAGAGTAGTGCTCGACCCAGCGCTTCAGTTGCAGTGTCTGGTCCTGAATCACCTAGCCTGTGACAGATTTCAGGGGTTCGTCTGGATTGGGTCGAAGGCCACTTTGATGCTGTCATACATTCCATTTATATTGCCTGTATCTGCTGTAGTCTGTATCTGGGAACAGAGCTGAAGTCAATAGTTGTTGGCACATCGCCTGGCGCTCTTCTGACTTTGCAGCGGACGGCCCCAAGGATCTGTAAGTTGTGCTGACTTGGGCAGGCTTTGTAGGCTGCCAAGGCGTTCCTCTTCTTTTCGATGACAGGTGTCATTTCTTCCGAGTGAGCCTCGAACCAGTCTGCCGACCTGCTGGTCTTCTTGCCAAAAGTGGACATGGCAGCGTTGAACGCAGCGTCTCTGAAGTGCTCCAATCTTTTACAGGTGGTGACCCCGGCCAGACCAGGAAGAGGTTCCTTGAGCACACGTGCAAAATCTTCCACCTTGTTCTGATTGTGGGTCTTAGTGGTGTCGATGTGAGGTCTGCCCTCCTTTTTCGAGTGGTGAATCTTCTTTGTTTGCATCTTGACCCCTGCTACATTCCAAGGAGTGGTCGGTGTCACAGACAACACTGGTAGCTACGCGTAATCTTGACGCTAGGTAGACTTGCACACCTGGTAAGAATCAGGTCAAGCTGGTGCCAGTGCTTAGATCTGGGGTGTCTCCAAGAGATTCGGTGTTGAGGCTTTGTGCCAAAGAACGTGTTGGTGACAGAGAGACCATGAAGGCAGCAGAGTTCTAGCAGATATTGCCCGTTCTCATTCATCCTCCCTATGCCGAATTGACCCAGACAAGTGGGCCAAAAGTTGTGATCGGCACCCACTCTGGCGTTGAAGTCGCCGAGGATGAATAGTGGCTCCTTTACAGGGATTCTTGCTATGACTCTGTTTAGGTCATCGTAGAATTTTTCCTTTGCCTCTGCTGGAGAAGTCAGGGTTGGTGCATATGCACTAATTACATTGACTGGTCCTGTTTGGGAGTGCAGTTGCAGAGACAGAATTCGTTCGGTTTCCCCCGTCGGTGACATAATGTGTCCCAATAGTGCATTCCTGACGGCAAATCCCACACCGTGTTCTCTGGTTTCATCTGGAGGTTTTCCTTGCCAGAAGAAAAAGAAGGCCCTCTCTCACAGATCTTGATCCTGGAAGTCTGGTCTCTTGGAGAGCAACAATATCCATCTGTAGTTTGCTCAGCTCCCTATCGATGATTGCTGTTTTTCGGGCGTCGTTAGTTTCTTGCAGGTCGTCAGAGAAAACTGGTGTCAGTGCCCTGACGTTCCATGTGCCCAGCTTTACGGCAGTTGATATTTATTTTTTGGGTTTGATATTGCTTGTAGCAAATTTGTCGGGCCGCTTGTCGGTTTTCACCCTAAACCCCACGCACTCAGTCAGGTTAACGGACCGTGGCGAGGCAGCACCTTATTGGCTGGGGTTTGCCCAGCTTGAGGCAGGTGGTAGCTGCCCACTGGGGCCCGGTGACCCCTCCTACCGTCGGAAGCAACCATTGGCGTCGTCGCACGCTTCGTTAATCGAGCAGAAGATTTAAAACCGGTAGACTGTCGCTTCCCGTGTTGGTTCGACGCTGTGAGGCGAAGCTGGAGTGTCCTCACCAGGGTACAAAGCCTGGGTAGGTAGATATGGAGGAGAAGCTGTTACCCCCATGCAGTAGGTCCCCCACTCCACGTTGCTGAAATTCCTGGAGTATGCGACTCCAGCATGGAGTCCATATCTAGTCGAGCACAAGACTAAACTGGAAAAGGTTCAAAGGTTTGCCACTAGGCTAGTACCCAAATTGAGGGGTATGAGCTACGAGGAGAGATTACGGGAATTTAACCTCACGTCACTGGGAGACAGAAGAGCTAAAGGGGACATGATCACCACGTACAAGAATCTCAGAGGAATTGATAGGGCAGATAAAGACAGACTAATTACCACAAGGGGCACGCGCACTAGGGGGACACAGGTGGAAATTGAGCGCCCAAATGAGCCACAGAGACGTTAGAAAGAATATTTTCAGTGTCAGAGTAGTAGATAAATGGAATGCATTAGGGGATGAATGCAAAGGAGAGGCGGTCGGCCGAGCGAACAGCACGCTGGATTTGTGATCCTGTGGTCCTGGATTCGATTCCAGGCGCCGGCGAGAAACAATGGGCAGAGTTTCTTTCACCCTATGCCCCTGTTACCTAGTAGTAAAAATAGGTACCTGGGTGTTAGTCAGCTGTCACGGGCTGCTTTCTGGGGGTGGAGGCCTGGTCGAGAACCGGGCCGCGGGGACACTAAAAAAGCCCCGAAATCATCTCAAGATAACCTCAAGATAGGGAGTGATGTGGTGGAGGCTGACTCCATACATAGCTTCAAGTGTAGATATGATAGAGCCCTGTAGGCTCAGGAACCTGTACATTAGTACAGGTTCCTGAGATTGACAGTTGAGAGGCGGAACCAAAGAGCCAGAGCTCAACCCTCGCAAACACAATTAGGTAAGTACAATTGGGTAAGTACACACACACACACACAAGTTCAGGCACTTAAGCAATAGCATACACGTACACTCAAACACACACACACTCGGGTACTCAAAAAAGAGCATACAGTACACAGAAACACATACACTCAGGTACTCAAACAACAACATACACGTAACAAACTCACACACACACACACACACACACAATTCAGGATGAACACAAAAGTATCTTCCTGGTTCAGTTGTTTGTTAAGGATATTATCCCCATTGTACACTAATAAGATCATCAAGTGATAGCATTAACTTTATTTTATTATACAATTGATCTCTTAAATTAAAAGTAAAAGAAAAATCTTACAGCAATATATGTATTGTTAATGCTGGACAATAAAGTCAATATCCTCGCCTCAAGACGTGATCTGTGAAGACCAAACTTACCTGACCTGAGATCATTGTCTCTGTCTATGGTGGAGAACTTCGTTCCGCTGAAGTTGTAGTGCCGTACAAGGACGTCCCCCATGGTACTCTCTTCCTGGTACCCGGCCACCAGCAGCTCGTACCTGGTCCATGGCAGGAGATGGTGAGAGGTACCAGGTATCACATGTGTAGTAGTGCTGGTACGTGATATTTGATAGAGAAAATTGAGAGGTACTAGGTGCCATATAGATATCAGTGCTGGTACCTAGTCCATGATAGGCGATCAGAGAGGTACCAGGCAACACACAGATAGAGGTGCAGGTACCTGGTCCATGGAAGGAGAGTGAGAACGGTACCAGGTACAGAAGTGATTGGAACTAACAGGTGAATGTCGTAGGCAATCATATGAAAATTCTATAGAAATATATACTCAAATAATATGCCTTGCATAATAACCAAATTGATGAACTGGAGAGAAAATATATCGCAATTATTGCAAAAGTTGCAACAAGTAGAAGCACTTCAAGCTTCACAAGCAGTAGCTCTAAAAGAATCAATGTCAGCAGCATAAGCAGTAGCACTACAAGCACCACAGTCAGCAGCACAAGCAGTAGCACTACAAGCACCACAGTCAGCAGCACAAGCAGTAGCACTACAAGCACCACAGTCAGCAGCACAAGCAGTAGCACTACAAGCACCACAGTCAGCAGCACAAGCAGTAGCACTACAAGCACCACAGTCAGCAGCACAAGCAGTAGCACTACAAGCACCACAGTCAGCAGCACAAGCAGTAGCACTACAAGCACCACAGTCAGCAGCACAAGCAGTAGCACTACAAGCACCACAGTCAGCAGCACAAGCAGTAGCACTACAAGCACCACAGTCAGCAGCACAAGCAGTAGCACTACAAGCACCACAGTCAGCAGCACAAGCAGTAGCACTACAAGCACCACAGTCAGCAGCACAAGCAGTAGCACTACAAGCTCCACAGTCAGCAGCACAAGTAGTAGCACTACAAGCACCACAGTCAGCAGCACAAGCAGTAGCACTACAAGCTCCACAGTCAGCAGCACAAGCAGTAGCACTACAAGCACCACAGTCAGCAGCACAAGTAGTAGCACTACAAGCTCCACAGTCAGCACAGTAAGCAGTAGCACTACAAGCACCACAGTCAGCAGCATAAGCAGTAGCACTAAAAGCACCACAGTCAGCAGCACAAGCAGTAGCACTACAAGCACCACAGTCAGCAGCACAAGCAGCACTACAAGCACCACAGTCAGCAGCAAAAGCAGTAGCACTACAAGCACCACAGTCAGCAGCAAAAGCAGTAGCACTACAAGCACCACAGACAGCAGCACAAGCAGTAGCTGTACAAGCAGCAGCACTACAAGCACCACAGTCAGCAGCACAAGCAGTAGCACTACAAGCACCACAGTCAGCAGCACAAGCAGTAGCACTACAAGCACCACAGTCAGCAGCACAAGCAGTAGCACTACAAGCACCACAGTCAGCAGCACAAGCAGTAGCACTACAAGCACCACAGTCAGCAGCACAAGCAGTAGCACTACAAGCACCACAGCACAAGCAGCACAAGCAGTAGCACTACAAGCACCACAGTCAGCAGCACAAGCAGTAGCACTACAAGCTCCACAGTCAGCAGCACAAGCAGTAGCACTACAAGCACCACAGTCAGCAGCACAAGTAGTAGCACTACAAGCTCACTACAAGCTCCACAGTCAGCAGCACAAGCAGTAGCACTACAAGCTCCACAGTCAGTAGCACTACAAGCTCCACAGTCAGCAGCACAAACAGTAGCACTACAAGCTCCACAGTCAGCAGCACAAGCAGTAGCACTACAAGCACCACAGTCAGCAGCACAAGCAGTAGCACTACAAGCACCACAGTCAGCAGCACAAGCAGTAGCACTACAAGCACCACAGTCAGCAGCACAAGCAGTAGCACTACAAGCACCACAGTCAGCAGCACAAGCAGTAGCACTACAAGCACCACAGTCAGCAGCACAAGCAGTAGCACTACAAGCACCACAGTCAGCAGCACAAGCAGTAGCACTACAAGCACCACAGTCAGCAGCACAAGCAGTAGCACTACAAGCACCACAGTCAGAAGCACAAGTAGTCGCTCTACAAGTATTACAATCAGCAGCACAAGCATTACAAGTATCACAGTCAACTCCACAAGCAGTAGCTCTACAAGTATCACAATCAACAGCACAAGCAGTAGCTTTTCTCTATCACAAACAGCAGCACAAGCACTACAAATATCAGTCAACAGCACAAGCAGTAGCACTACAAGCACCACAGTCAGCAGCACAATCAGTGGTACTACATGCACCACAGTCAGCAGCACAATCAGTGGTACTACAAGCATCACAGTAATTGGAAATGACATTGCAGACGAAGCTGCAAAACTTGCAACTATGAGAAGAAATGTAGACATTAACATACCACAGAGTCTATCACAGATTAAGAAAGTAATTAGAAACAGAGCAATGCACAAGATGTACAGTGACCACAACACAGCAGTTCCAACATCAGGATCTGCGGGTTGGTACAAGAATTCAAGCAACTACAAGCCACTTAATTTGATGAAAGGGAGCAGTAGAGCAACAGAAGTACACTCACATCGCATCAGGCTTGGATACCCATGTGCATGGGAAATAGGCTTACAGGTTCCGGAAGATGAGAGAAAATGTAAGCACTGTGGAGAAATGCCCAACAGACCACTGGAACATTATCTAACACAGTGCACAGTTACAAACCCATTAAGATTTCAACTTAGATTCAACAGAGCAGAAGAAGTTGTTTAACACATATGACAAAATCTTACTGAAGCGACCATACGAGTCATAAATACTCATACTTCGCCCAAGTAAAACAGAAACAAGCAACACTTAGTGGGCCAGCCAGAGGCTTAGGGCCCGTGCAGGAATATCCCTGCAAAAAAATCGCAATCAGAAGCGCAAGCATTAGCTCTACATGCACGACAATCAGCAGCACAGGCAGTAGCACTATAAGCATTGCAGTTAGCAGCACAAGCTATAGCTTCACACGTATCACAGTCTAGCCTGTTCTGTTCCAGTCTAGCCTGTACAAATTACGCCTCAATTTGGCTGTTTGCCGGTATGCCGAAAATGAACGTAATTTCGTTTTACGGATGAATTCGTCAATATACACTATTTCTTATTTAATTTTTTTTCGTTTCCTTCACATTCTCTGTACGTTTTGAAAAGGTTTATTAGAATTTGGAGAACGATAATAAAACGCAAGGCAAATACATGTTTTAAAATGTTTTTTTAATGTTATGGTAAAATGATTTGGTGCAAATGTTTTAAAAACTTTAATGTTAATTATTTAATTATGGGAAAAAAAAGTAGGTAATAATCTACATTGAATTGAGAGAGAGAGAGAGAGAGAGAGAGAGAGAGAGAGAGAGAGAGAGAGAGAGAGACAGACAGAAAGAAGATGGAAACTAAGAAAAAGACAGATTGACAGAGATGAAGAAACAAAGACAGTGAGACAGAGAGGTATATATTGTATATTGTATATATATATATATATATATATATATATATATATATATATATATATATATATATATATATATATATATATATATATTATTAAATATGACCGAAAAAGTAAGATTAATAATTCTAACACGAATTTTCTCAATCTTTCGTACATTTCTTTTCACTGTTGGAGGTAATTCAAAAATCAATTCTCCAAAATTCATTTTTATTACTAGTCTGACGCGACACTTGAGCGCGTTTCGTAAAATTTATTACATTTTCAAAGACTTTACACATACACAACTGAATAGAACTTACATATCTCCGATTTGTTTATATCTACATTTGAGTGAGGTGGATGGGGTGAGGTGGTATTTAATAGGGTATAAATTTCATCAACACAAGACAGAACACGAAACAATGGGTATTGAAATGGAAGTGATTGTAGAAAGCCTATTGGTCCATATTTCTTGATGCTTCTATATTGGAGCAGAGTCTTGAGGTGGGTAGAATACCCATTGTTTTGTGTTCTGTCTTGTGTTGATGAATTTAATACTCTATTAAATACCACCTAACCCCATCCACCTCACTCAAATGTAGATATAAACAAATCGGAGATGTGTAAGTTCTATTCAGTTGTATATGTGTAACAAAAGTCTTTGAAAATGTAATAAGTTTTACGAAACGCGCTCAAGTGTCGCGTCAGACTAGAAATAAAAATGAATTTTGGAGAATTGATTTTTGAATTACCACCAACAGTGAAAAGAAATATACGAAAGATTGAGAAAATTCGTGTTAGAATTATTAATCTTACTTTTTCGGTCATATTTAATAATATATATATATATATATATATATATATATATATATATATATATATATATATATATATATATATATATATATATATATATATATATATATATATATATATATATACAACAATTTATATATATATATATTTATTTTCCCTAATTCCGCCTTGGGCACCCGCCTGGACCATCGGACCCTAAGTATTGGTGTTGCTCTGCGCCTTGCCGCCCCTATCTCCACCGAGCACCGGTGTATTTGAGGCCATGCACGGGCAGACCAATACGGCAGCCATGGTCTCATCTGTCATAAGACACAGGGAAAGATTGCCAGACATGAAGCAGTCAATGACATCATCAAGAGAAGTTTGGCTTCAGCTGGGTGCCCAGCACAAAGGGAACCTCAGTTGTGCAGGCCTGACAACAGCCAAAAACGCCCAGATGGAGTCGCCCTGCAGCCGTAGAGGGAAGGTAAACAGGTCGTGTGGGACTACACGTGTGCATCCACATTGGCTGATACCTATCTACCTTACAGCGCAGCTGAGGGAGGCAGGGCAGCCACCTTCAGGGAGACCCAGAAAACTAACAAGTACATGGACCTAGAACGTTGTTACAGGTTCGTGCCAATAGGCTGAGACTCTGGGCGCCTGGGGTAAATGTGCACTTAAGTTCCTGAAGGAGCTGGGCGAGGAACTCATTGGGAAGACTAGAGACCCAAGAGCGGCCAGTTTTATGTTCCAGCGCCTCAGTGTCGCTGTTCAGAGGGGAAATGCGTGCTGTATCTTGGGTACGCACCCGACCCCCG